CGACACAACAATATGATAACAACATAATGGGCGAACCGATGTGAATATTGTCGGGTTTCCCCCTTCGACTTAACGTTGCATCCGAAAAAACACTCTGAACACTACGGTACAACAGCCGCAGAGTACGGTATGCGCACTTAAAATGGATGAATAAAACGAGAAGATTTTTTTTTTTATACAAATCTCAAAAACTCCTTTGTTGGCGTGCTGCAAGATAAATGTAAATGATTTTATTTTAAATTCGACGCGAAATATTCCGTTTCCTTACAAACGATTTCGCTCTCGTCCCAGCCGGTCTCCGTCGACGGAAGATTTGCAAATTAAATGCCACGCAAATCCCCAAAAGCTTACTACAAAAAAAAAAGAAAAAAAAAAATAGCGCATCTGGACGATTTGAGATAATAATCTGTTATCGTTTACCAAATTGCGTTTAGCGTCTAACATTATAATATTATGTTGTATTATAAACGAACGGAGCCATAATGGTTTGGAATAAAACCTAGTCATTTTCTTCGCTCCAACGAAAAACATCTAATCACGGATGGATAGTAAAATTGTTACTTATATATGTTGGTTTAGTTAAAGTTTTCCATGAAATATTTATGAAAAATGTGTATATGCATAATATATTTCACGTTTTTCAAATAGTCTGTATAACGGCGAAAGAAAAATATGTTCAAAAGCAAATAGTCTTTGGTTGGGGTCGGCTTATAATGAAGTGTTTGCGTAACATATTACCGGCATCTTTGATGTTTGTGCATTTCAATGCAATCGACCGAACACCTTTGATGTTTAGTTCAAACTAGTGGAAGGTCTACAGAGAAATGATTCTATATAGTGTTTATTTTTTGAAATTTTCCGACACAATGTTTTTTTTATTTTTTAACTACAATTGTATGACTTTTTAATTGATCAGAAGGTGGGACTTACGTATTGTACCTATCTATAGCATATCAAACAGGGCAGAAAATTCAGATCGGATTCAGACCGGGTCACTCTGCTGTTATGAACCAAACTATCTTCAACAACTTTACCTTGAAGGCTTTTGCAAAGAATTACGAGGTTGACGCTATCTTTATAGATTTAGCAAAAGTCTTCGATCACAACCTACTTCTAGAGAACCTGTACAAATCAGATTTTGGAGTTCCTCTCCAATTGTGGCTCACATGGTATCTGTCTGGAAGCTCCAATACGTAAAAATCAATGGGCGTACATCAAAAGTCCTGCCAGTCATTTGAGTTCCCCAAGGTGGACATCTCTCTCCTCTGTTATTTAGACTATACACGAATGACATAACAAAAGTCATCCCAAACTGTAATCTCCTCACCTTTGCTGATGACTTGAAGATTTTTCCCCAAATCAATTCTGAGACTGACTGTTTAGTGCTACAGCGTAGGCATTCCATCGAACTGCAACCAAATGTAGACAAATGTCAGCCTACGACCTTCTCTAGGAGTTGGTCTACGGTACTATTCCACACATGATACAAAATGCTCATTTTTAAAGAAACAACAGTATAACAAATAAAAACATAGTTAGGAATGTTTAACCTTTCTGAGATACGAATATAAAAGCGTAAATATTTTTTAATAAATCAATAATAATGACCATAAAATATCGCATAGTGATGATAACAATATAACGTGCTTATGCACGGGAAAAAACTTTAGGAAACGTGTAAAAGAATTCAATAAAACTAAAAGTGTAAACAGTAAAACATGAGACGTGTAAAATTGAAAAAGATAGCACGGGTTAAAATTCAAATTAGTGTAGACAAAAGTCAGCCCGGATTAAGCCAAGTATATTTTAAAATTGAAACTGTCTAAAAATTTTACAGAAATAGCCAGTAGCAACCCGTGTTAATGTTAGTCCACACCGTTTTTAAAATCTTATCTCGGCCAAAATTGTTTGCGCTAAACTGGACGTGTGATGAGTTGTAATAGTTTATAATATTTTAGAATATTTTATCGACCAACATCGAGTTTGTTAAACATTCATATTTTCACAGTTGACGGCCGGACAGGTGTTTTATTATATTCTTTTTATTTGTTTTATCGGTGAGGAATGTCACTGTTTGTTTTTAATCATTTATCTTGGCTCGGAAACAAAAAAAAGAACAAACGGGAAAAGTTTTTGTGATAATTAAACAATCCTTTTCAACAGTTATGATGTTTTTTTTTTTGTTCGTCGTGCTTTGAATAAGAAAAAAAAAGGGCGATGATGCGACGGTGGTTATTAAATATTTCAAAAGTTAATCGTTGTCGAGCAGTCGACGAAAGTATAATTATTATTATAAACAGAGCGCGGTGTTTATTGTGTGCAGTTTTGCCGGTCGTATGACTCCATTCCATCTGGACCAAGTGATTGTTCAATTATTCAAATTGACCCGTTAAGTTTGATTTATTATTATAAACGGATATTGAAAAATACCCCAGAAATAAGCTTTGGTGCTTGAAATAGAATATTTTTCATACTTACTTTCCCAAACGGGGAATAATAACGTGTTTTGTTTATAGATTAAAAAATTATATACATTTATATAGTAAATATTTATTAATTATTTAGTTTGTAATATCGCGATAAATGTTTAATGCAAACTGTTGTGCTACTATTGTAAAAGCCTAACGAATATTGATCTTAAATTCAAGTCTCAACAATGCCATAGCAAACGAACGGACTGATGAAAATAATTTAAAATTTTTCGTCTATATACTTATATACATTTTGGAAAAATACAAAATCCCTACATATTTTACGTATAAGGGATGAGTTTTTTTATACAATGTGATCTTAATTTTTCATAATTTTGTTTTTTGGTGGTTTTAATCCCATTCTAAGCGAATTATTTTTATATCAACTTTTGAAACTTAAATGGTAACGTATAAATAGTTCATTTCCTTTTTTAAATTAAGAATGGTGTACTCAAAAGGTTTACTAGTCGATAACCAGTTTCTGACAACTAGTTTTGAAGTTATAAGATGCCAAAAGTTAGTATGGTATGGGAAGTTCACACGGATAAAAATAATACTACTGCACTCCACTTTTTCTGCTGCCCTAAACTTGAAACTTCAATAACTTCAAAATCGATTATCCAAAATGTACTAATGCGTTACCGTTTAAGTTTCGAAAGTTGATATAAGGCAAAATTAGACGGGGAGGGAACTAGGGACATACAAATTTGTGGAAAATTTGGATCCTATTAAATCGATGCACGATTGAAAATAAAATAATTCAATTATTAACTAAATCCAACGAGGCATGGAGTGGTTCACGATGGAAATTGAAGGGTAATAATCCAAAACGTTGTATTGCCAAAATTGAGTTAGACATTGATACTTATTGTAAACTAAACGAGGAATTCATTTTTGATACTTTTATTATTCTATTCCATATTTGTAGCGTAGAAACAAAGGGTTTAAAAGTTGACGCTAATTCAAAACGTGGTATTGCCTATTTTGAATTTTTTCAAAATGTACTATTTTCGCGTCAAAACGTATTAATTCCTATGTTAGAAGTATACAAAAATCATTTTTAACTATGCATAACGTGGAATTACCAATTATTTTTCCAAAACGTGTTATTTTTGTTGTTGGTTCAAAATGTGCTATTTCCTTTAACATCAATATATAACAATGGTATCTCCTACTACAAAACGTGCTGTTTCCCTATTGTCTCCTTTTGTTTGGTAACCTTTAATTTTAAAGCAAATTATCAAATTAGTTGACTGAAATCTGTACATTTTTCAAAGAGGTTTTATAAAATACACTTGCTGGTTATTTGTTGGGAAAAACCGTGTTCGAATTGTATGATATCAACGTACACGGTGTGTTATATATTAAAGCCAATATTTTCGTTTAAATTGTAAATTTTTACATAAAAAAAAAAAAATATTACTTTATTACATATTCGTTTGAATTTAATCTGCTCATCGATATTAAATTGTGCTGTTTGTAATCGGGTTTTCAAATCAAAGTGTAAAAAATTCAATCCTTTCGCTATTTTACATCCATAAAGTTCATAATTTGTAAACATTTATTTATATTGCGGTCGGAACAGAAAACTCGATTTTCGAAAAAATTGTGATTTTTGGAAGTACAACGCTTTTGGACATTGTTACCCATCAATTATCGCCTTGCACATTACAAGACGTGTAGGACGTAACTTGGCAAACTTCAAATTTCTTCACCCATGTCGCGTTCACCCAACCCGATACTACTACGACCCAACGTTCTTGAGACGCCTAGGCGCATGTACCGCGCGTTACGGGGTCGCGGTTCGGCCTACGGGTACCGCGGTGGCCGCCGCGCCAACCGACCCGGACGGCGGCGGTGGCCAAAATCAACGGCAGCGCCGCGGCCGCCGTCGACCGAGTACCGCGGGAGCCGATTCGGTCGTCCGCCCAGCGCGCTCCGTCCTCTTCCCCGTGCCGCGCGGGCGAGCGGCGCCGGCGGAGGCTGCACACACACACACACACACACGCGCGTGCCGCCCGGGTCGAAAACGCGCGCGCACCCACGGGGTGTGAGGCACGGCATGAGGGGACAGGGCCGGTACACCAGCGGCGTAGCGCGCGTGTAAGGCGCGTCCCGCGTATACCGCAGCAGACAGATAGCTGGCCGCCGCCGAACGAACCACACACGCGACATCGGCCGGCCTCCGCCGACAAAAATCACACAATTATTATACGCGATTTGTCGAAAGCGGACGTTTCTTTTTTTCACTCGAATTTTTTTCTTACCGTCTAATACATTTTTTTTTTTTTGCCCTTCGCCCCCGACCGACCGTCGTCCGGACGCGCGCGCCTAGTACCGCAGCCGCCGCGGCCACGGCCAAGCGGGCATAATGGAAATACGGGTCCGTCGTCGTGCCCACGACCACTGCCCGCCGCGCACACGACGCACCGTTAGCCGCAGCCACAGCGACCGCCGCCAACGGCCGCGCCAGCACCGCCGGCCGCACGAGTTGCCGGAGCCACAGCGGCCAGAGCAGCGGGACCAGCAGCGGACGCCCGTCGACACCTCCTGTTGATACGGCCGCCGCGGGACGAGTCGACGACGTGTCGCGCGCGCCGCCGCCGCCGCCGTCGCTGAATGGGACATGGGAATACTCCCGCCCCTGATCACCGTTTGCCTGATCATTACAGGTCAGTAATCGTCGGTTGGTTATTTTATTTTTTTTTTTTGTCCCGCCCGTTTGGACAGCCGTCACATAACGTCACGTCACGTCACGTCACGTCACGTAACGTCACGTCATTCGGCCAAGTAGCCAAGGCGATTCAACTAGTTGCCACAGAGCACACACGCCCCTCGGTGACGACGGCGGTATTGGGTCAAGACTGTGGATTACTGCATACTCTACTATATTTTCCGATACTCTGTCAAAGAAGTCTCAAACCTCGTCTCTTTCAAACGGCAACATATGTTCTCGATTATTATCAATCGGACAACACGTTGTTAGTTTTCATCGACCCGTTCGTTTGCTATGACTTTGCTATAACATCTATAACCGTTTGGTTAGTACAGCAACAGTAGCACAGCGATTTCCCGTCAAATGATAATACTGACCCCCGTCGATAACACTGTCGCCGTCCGTCACGGTGTTTGAATAAGCTAATTTGTAATATTAGACGATATTCAAATTTTTTCAGAGCTCTCTCAACTTTTAAAACTAAAGCTGTAACGTAAACACACTTAATTGACTATTTAAATTAAGAACATTTTGCGGAAAACGTTGACTCGTCGGTAAACAGCTTTGGATAATTTCATTACTTAAAATGTCAGTAAATTATTCTTAAGCTGCATAGTTAATTATATTTAAACGTTATCGGTCAAAATCCAAAGGTTAATGGAGCTCTGGAAAATAATAAAAAAGGTAAATACTTAGTAGTTTTATAACGTTTAAAAAAAAATATAAACAAAAATGTTTTGAAAAAGAAAAAACTATAAAATTGCAATTATTTTTCGGGAAAATGAGTGTCTAGCGTTTAATTAATCACCTTGTTGTAGAAATCCACTCAGATATGTAGTTTTAAGTTCGATTTGTGTGATAAATACAAAATTAAATATCAAGAATGTACATACACTTGGCATGAACGATTATCGATAAAGAAAGTTAGTGCGAAATTGTGGGCCTTTAAAAAGTTATACAATAGTGTTCTATAAGTCTGTTCCTAAAAAAAACCGCTTTTGTCAAACGGTCTGAAAAGTCTAAATCAGTTTTGAGCACTTTTCTTAAAATAGGTGTGGCCAACCACGTCGACTAAATCATAAACTTGGTTAGTTGTATAAAATGGTACAAACAAAATGATTATTAATAAGCAAAAAAATACAGAGTTTTAAAATGTATTTAGACTTGTAAAATCTTCACAGTCAGTTATGCAAATTCACTAGGTTTAACAATCACAATATCTTATAGCTAACAAATAGGGGCGTGATTAACATAATTCATAGTTAATTGGAACGTCATATTTTTTTTTTCATATCTGATATCTGGAAATCCGTTGTTATTTTACAATATAATATGTCCAAGAATAAACTATTATAAAAAAAAATGTCAAATGTAGATTAAAGCAAAAACACATGTGTTCAAATTAAAATGTAAGCTTGTCAGGGTAACTTTTCGAGTAGGGTCATCGTGACTGATGGGTAAATAAAACCAAACCATTTAGTTTACCAGAATCCATAAAAAATAAACTAGAAACTTCCACAAAAACACATACACAAGCTCAGTGCGCGGGCAACAATAGTTTTGATACCAAAAAAAAAAAAAACATTTCCATAAACTTACAATATTTTGTATTGTATGTCAAAATGATGTATTATTATATATTATTTATTGATATTATTAAGTTAGAAGGCTGATTTACGTTTTTAGACTATTATAAAGATCATATTTTTTTTTCTGATACAACACATCCCTTGACAGTTAAAGCTTGACCCTTATCATCAAATGCATACATTACAGAATGTGTTGATAAAAGTTTATTTCGAAAGTTTGCTCTTTTTATACATCTCAATCGATTATCTCGAAAGTACACCGACATTTTAAGTAGTTGAATTTGCTAAGTAAAGCCGCCCAAGAATAAATCCGAATTTTTAAAATTATTATCCAACGCCCATATAATATATTATACTGGTTTTTTTCTATGGCTTGCCCTTTTTATCGGTAGTAGCTCATTCAATGAAGAAATCCCTAAAATTTCTGATCCGTAACTTAACTTAAGTATGATTTTTTTTTTGCATTTTATTAACATGGGAAATTTTACCTTTTCATTGAAGAAATCTTGAAAACTACACAACATTTTTAAAATTTGAAATGTAAATACTAAAATAAAACTAAAATATGACACCTAAAAATCCTTCATTGATATTTTGCGATACAATTTTTTTTTATCAGTTGTATTAGTTTTGATGGGCTGCAACTTTATAGAAACATGTTTATCACAAAATATCAAGAGAGTGATCATTAAATACCGTGTCTCAACACCGAGAATATATTTTTTTAGTTGCAATCATTTTGATTAGTTTTCAAATTTCCCATACTCAAACGCAGAAACAGTTTTACGAGGAAAGACTTGGAGTTGAGCTTGGGATCTGAAATGTTAAGGATTTCCTATTTGAATAGTCTATCATCTATTATCTGGGAGGAGAGGGGGGGGGGGTAAGTATAAACATACATAAAATGATTCCTTATTCCGGCGTGACACTTTTGTCAATTACCGTGTCAACCGACAACGACCAAATGAACCGCGTGGGACGTTCATAATAACAATAATCAGAGGGGGTGAAAAAGTAAAGCGAAAAAATAAATCCAAATAACAATATCAAGCGGTCGCGCGCAATTCATTTTTCATTATTAAGACGTTACACCGATGATCGTAAATCCTCGACGTGGCAGAACCTTCGCCTAAGTGTGTTCATTGTCTGAGGGCTCCAAGGACGTTTTGATAGCCGAATCGAAATTACTATGGTAAACCCCGCTAAAACGTACAGAAAACGATGACGACGAGACGCCGTGTAATTTGCATAATATATTATTACCGCCACAATGGCTGTCACGGCAATTGGGATTAATCAAACGCCGTTTAAGACTTTGACGGGACTGCGCGAAAAGGCAACACAGAAAATATTATGCAAAACGACCGAAATTCATTCCGATATTTCCCTATCATAGTCATCGATGGTCATACATTTTAAAATGGTTTAAATAGTAAGGAAAAGCAGTTGAAAGCGGAGGAAAAATACACAGCTGAGCATCTCAGGTGGGTGAAATCAAAAAAATGATTTTCTTGAAATATGACTTCTGTAATCAATTTGGTAGTTTTCCGTTGGACTGGAATAAAACATGAGCTCGTTTATAAGTTATGTTTCTGGTTTGCGATGGAATTCGACTGTGGACAATGTGTTTCGCGCATTCCGAGTTAACCGCTTGGATAGGTTAAATGTTGAATACGAGTTCAAAATGATATACATTGGAGGGAGATTCGGTTTTCGTAAATGTCCATGTACCGCTTGCTCTTTGATTTATGTGGCGTATGTGACTTCAGAACATATTGCATACGGCGGTCGTGTCTTGGTTCGATAAAAATTACAGTGTTCATCTTCTCTTTGCGGTTCTTTCTTTCTTTACATTTTTTTTGCTGCTGCTGCTGCTGCTGCTGATGTTGCTGTTGCTCCTTAGCTGCGCCTTACCTTGTGTGGCTCGGAAAAAACTCCGTTTGATTTATGGCGGTGAGAAAACTTTTGTTTAAAACACATTTTCGTTCCGTCTCTTTAACTTTGCGCATAATACCGTTTTCGTTGCTCGGATATTTTCAACGTTTTTTATTTAATTATGATTTATTTATTCGTCATGGCAAAAAAAAAGCCAGCAAAGTCACGGGGCTATAGGAATTATTATAAACGACTCTGTGGCTGCTGGACCTGACTTTTGTAGTACTTTTCTTACTGCGCTGGTTCCGATAAACCTCCCCGACCCCCCTATGCTTTGCTCCCACTTACATCTACTATACGAATTTAACTATGAAATTTTAAGAAAATTGTAAAAGTTAGGCGCTAATCTAGTTAACCCATACAACAATATTATGATGTACTTGCCACAGGCGGTCGTTGTTGAAGCAGCTGGTTAGGTGCCCAACGCTGAGCCTAATTGAATTGCCGGAGGTGCTCTCGCACACGTCTGCCGGAATCGATTCGAAGTGACGGGTATATCCATTCCGCACCGGATATACCGACCAAGCGATTTACAACCGGGATTGAAATCGAAACCCATCGCGTCACGGCCAACAATTGCTTTGATAACCCGAACGATACAAAATCTACAATCCGATCGTTTCCATTACCCGCGGATAAATTCCACTTGGACGTTTCGAACGGGAGAAAAACGCAAGATAACATTAATATTGTCCTTCTACTTCTACTTCTTCTTCGCTTTCATCCCAACTTTTTGGTTCGGCTACTCTTGTCTCCTAAATCTCACCTCGGCATGATCTCCCACATCATACACCAGCAGTGCTCATATTCCTCTTTCCACATTACATGCTCAAACCATCTTTGTCTCACTCCAATCATCGTCGCAGAGGTTGTTTCTAGAGAAGAATGGAGAAGTTTCAGCTGATCTTGAATTGGCGATTTATTAGGAGGTTTGTCTACCGCCTAACACACCGCACTTGTAAAACTTAAATTTAGGTCTCATTAGAATTATCTTCTTATTTAAACAGTTGAAACTGCTCTCCACTTGATCCAATCGCAATTAATCCTACGTTTCATATTCTCATCAAGACCACCGTTTTATTTTGTGTGGAAAATCTCAAATAGTAGAAGATTTTCTAAACCTTAGCCCCTTCCCTTCGAGTGCTGTTCTCCACTCCTCGAGCTTATTGTTAACTTTTTTCAGATTATCAAAACTTTATCGTTTGCAAACATCGTGGTAACTCGCCCTGTATTCCCTACACATTAACTTCATCCGTTACATCCTTTACATGCACACCTACTCTAACCCCTAAAATATTTTGTTATTCCACAAAAATATATATATATTCAGTGACTCAGGGTACGTTTCGCAGTACTTCAGCTGATTGTTCATTAATTGGCTGTACTAGGTGAATTTGGAGTAACGACTGTAATTTTACACGGTGTACGTTAC